AGTTTTTAGCTTGAATGAACAACTCTGTGCAAAACTTTTTCCAGTGTATACTGAAAAGTAAAATGTCAAAAACTATTTTAGTGCAGCTCGTGTACAATGAAGGAACAGTTCCTGATCGTGAAAGTGTTTATTTGAGTGAGAACTAAGTGTCAAATTTAAATTACTGAAATTAAATGAGGAGAGTAACAAGTTCAACCAGGTATTTTTCCAGTTTTAATAATAATTTATGACCTCGGCGACTGTTTGCTTGCTTGTTTTCTACTTAATGGTACTACGCAACACACTTGGCAGTAACTTTTTAAAAAGAAAAGTGATACTTATTTATTTTTAGGACAAAAAAAACCCAAAAATGTATCAACACAGAAGCATCCATCCAGAGGACCTGACTCAACCAAGTTAGATTAATAACTGTTTTTTTTTTTTTTTAACAATTGTTATTTTGGTAATATTTAGTGATTTTTTTCAGCTCTTTGATTGGTTTTGTTACAAATTTGTTCTTTGTTGTTCATAAATTAATGTAGGTTTGGACCCAGAATGCAGATTCGACACGAGGAGCTCGAAAATGAACGGTTTTATTTTAAAACAAAAAGAGCAGTACAACTAACAGAAACACATAAGAAGCACAAGAGGAGAACACAACGAATGGACGGGATGTGGCATGTAACATGCACAAGAAGATGGACCGTGAGGCTGATGGGAAGAGCGGCTGCAGCTGTGACTAATGGAGTGAGGAACAGGTGTGACTGGGCGTGGCAGGACTGAGGAGCAGAGGCTGACTGTGGAAGGGTACGAGGAGTGGCTGATGGCACCGAGGAACACAGGCTGCATTGAAGGATTTTTGCACAACTTCAGTGTAACAAAGCACCGCAGACAAAACCATCAGAGGGGATTTTATCCGTCTACGTCACTGCTCAAAATATCATCTATATCCTCGGGCTTTAATGGGAAGATTTCAGCACAAATGGATTAAATTACAACAGATTAACAAATCCAAAATCATGCTGTAGTGAAAAAAACAAACAAACAAAAAAAAAATCTGATTCTTTGTTTCTCTAAAATCACAGTTGGTAGGTAACCTTTTTGTATCCATGCAGAATTTTCAACATTTAAACTCATATTGACCGTTAAAGCAAAACCAGACCCCGATAATGGTGAATGCTGCTTTGTATGTGCTCCTGCTTGGTTGATTAGTCCGAGACACATCAACACAAGTAGAAAGAGAAAGCTCATGGCACCTGTCTGCTGCAGATGTCTAAAGTGATACAGGTTTAAACGTGTGTGTCAGAGCTGGCACCATGAAGGTGTGTGGTCAGGCTGGTCAGCTGACAGCAGGTGGTCAGAAAGAGTTGCACAATCTGGCCAGAAGCAACCAAAAGATCAGTCCAAACTCAGGCTCAGTCTTCCTGGAACGAAGGAAGGAGAGAAGGAAGGAATATCCCTCAGAGTTTTAAACTAAGATTGTCTGATGATGACAAGAAGTGGACTTATAGACATTTTAGTCAAAGCTTTTAAATATTTCTACAAATCTAATAGGAGATGATGTGCTGGGGATGATTCAGTCGCAACATCCAATTTGAGCTCAATATCCATGAAACCCATGAATTACCCATTAATGGTTAGTCAGGTCGTCTGGACAGTTTCTTTTTTGTGGAAAGACGTTTCACCCTCTATCCGGAGGACTTCGTCAGTCTGAGAAGTCTCAAGTAAACTGTTTTACCCACCAAGCAGTGCACTCCTTTAGTGGACCAACCAGTTTGCTGGAGATAAGATGATTTCTGGGGGCCGTCCTCTCCCCCGTCGACTCCTCCCAGGCAGCCACAGCCAAAGTGGTTCAAGACATCAAAGTTCATGCTCAATCATCCAGGTACAAAAAAAAACCCAACAATGGTCAGTCAGGTCATCTGGACAGTTTCTTTTTTGTGTAAAGACGGGGGGACAGGACAGCCCCCAGAAACCATCTTATCACCAGCAAACTGGTTGGTCCACTAAAGGAGTGCACCGCTTAGTGAGGAAAACAGTTTACTTGGGACTCCTCAGACTGATGAAGCACTATGGATAGAGGGCGAAACGTCTTTCCACAAAAAAGAAACTGTCCAGATGACCTGATTGAGCATGAACTTTGACGACTGAATCAGAGGCCTTCTTCTGTTGGCTGTGGCAGCCATCTTGGATTAAATTGGCTCCAACTGTTATTCAGTGGTGCACGTAACACCAGTGATACTTTAGGACGGACAGTTTCATTACAATCCATCTAGTTGTTCATGAGATATTTTGCTAACAAACAAATGAACACACAGACACATGTATTATTCCCCACCCACACACACACACACACCTTTTGACATCTGGCCATAACAGTGTTCTTTTTTTTTTTTTTTTTTTTTTTTAATGTTGAAGTGGATGTGCTTATGTAAAAACATTTCTTCTTCATCTTTTTGTGCGAACATGTTTGGTCTTCTAGTCCACTGCATTCAAATAAACTGACACGTTTATGAGAAATTGCTCTGATGTAAATAAATAATGAAAAACTTCCAGCTGTTGTTTTCCTGTTCTTGTATTGTAACAAGTTCTGATATTTTAATCCATTCAGCTTCTTCTGGACTTTTAGTTATTGTAACTTTTATTTACGTTTTGCTCATTGAAGTGAACTCTTCAAAATCCCTTTTAAAAAAAAAACTTTGTGCACTTTAAAGTTTACTTCAGTATTCTCACTTCATTTTTACTTTTAGCTTTTTGTCAGTTGAAGCTGCCATTTTGCTGGTTTTAGCTTTTAGCTATTGTTGGGCTCTTTCTATTTTACGGACTTGAACTCGGTTTGTCTGCTTCCACAGAAAACGCTCTCTTTCTGTTTGATGACACTTGTTCCCAGTTTGTCAGCATGAAGGGTCTGATCATTATCTCTGGTAATGAGGATGGAGGTGGAGGGTGGGGGGCGTGCGCGTGATGAACAGGGCGTGGATATGACTGCAGCTGAGGAGGGAGCAGCGCAGTGTGGACCCGGGCTGTGCTGAAGGACAGTAAATTATCTGACAGGAGACGATGTGGAGTGTCACGCTGCGCGCTTTGAGCCAGCTGCTGGTGAGCAGCAGCTGGATAAAGTTTCTCCAGCTGCTCCCTGTGTAACTCCTGCAGTCAGTGGCATGAAGTCGCCTGATGTGCCATGTTCCCTGCGCCGCGTCCTCCCGCTCCGGATCCATGGGATGGAGTAAATGGAGAGCTGCGGTCAACTTTGGACACCTGAAGGCGCAGTCCAAGCTGTCCGTCTTCCTTACCATGATCATTCTCTTCACCTACCTGTTTTACTGCCTCAACGGATACTGTGACTCCCTGCCCACACCTGTGTACTACGTGCACCAGACCGTCTCCCACGATGGGCTCCAAACCGAGCAGCCCGGCGCGCAGAGCGCGTCCCCGGACTCGCTGGTCCGGAAACAGCTGTCGGACTGGTCCAGGAGCGCGGCTCCGTCCTCCAACATGTCCATCGCGAACAGTTTTGGTAGCAGAAAGTTCCCTCAGGCCGTCATCATCGGGGTGAAGAAGGGCGGCACGCGAGCGCTCCTGGAGTTTCTGCGCATCCACCCGGACGTGAGAGCCGTGGGCGCAGAGCCGCACTTCTTCGACCGCTTCTACGACAAGGGACTGGACTGGTACAGGTACAACTGGTTCCTTCCCACTCTGAACGGCTTTAAGCAGAGTTCGTATCCTTCTGTGCGTCAGCTGCTGTTTGTTTGGATGGTGTTGACGCAAATCAGCTCGAGAAAGCTCATTTTGAAGTGGGTTCTGTATCAGAACACAATAATTAACAACTTACCTGTTGCAGATCATTTTGGGGAGAAGTAGATTTTCATTCTGATCCGGTGGAAGTGTGGCTCACCTCCATCACCTCCATCTTAATACAGCAGCTCTCATCTAAAATACTTCATAGCGGTTCAAACCCTTTCATGACCTCTCAGGCCTCGCTGCTGCAAGTTCGACACAAAATGAGACAAGATGTGAGAAAATGTGCAAAATTTCACTTGGTATCATGGAACTATGTGTGCATGTGCATAAACTGTGACAACATTCATGTGGATGTTGTGCAGTTTTTTTTTTAATCACCATCATCACAAAATGTTTTAATCGTGTCTCAATTTGATTGCAATTTATTATCTTTAATCAGTCACAATTTGGTTCCCATACTCTCCCAACATTGTCTCAAATTTCTCGTACTTCTAACGGAAACTAAACTGAGATGGGTTTGAGACGCACCTTTGCAACTACTTTGAGAGGTTCCAGCTCCAGCAGGCCTTGTGACTCTCACCAGGAAATCAAGAGCCCTCGTGAACATTTCCAGATGTTTCGTTGTGAGCGCTGTTCGCAGTTTGTCGCCAACACTTGCAGCCGAGTGAGACGCAGGCTCCACGCCGTCGTCAGTTTATTAATTTACGTTAAATTCTGTGATTGTTTGCTGCCTTGGCTCAGCAGCAACGAGCTGTAGCACTTCTGTCGCAGCTCTTCCTGTAAGAATATCAGCTGAAAAACTTAAGTGAAAGGTTTAAATTGTTAACTTAAATAATGTTTGAAGACTGAAGCAGGAGTCACTCACTAACCAGCCAATCTTCTGCTGGTGCAAATACAAATGTGTAAACTTTTACACAGCTGTCAGTTATTTCAACCGTATCGTAATGAAACGGATGTACGCAGGATGAACCGGAGTCTCTGTGCTGCTGCTCCATCAGTGTCAAACACGAACTTTGTTCCTCCAAACGGAGTTTATTCAAAGAGCGCCCCACAACATGTAAAATAATAATGATGCTTTAAAACTTGACAAACGTGTCCTATTTGGGTTGTTTTATTCAAAAAATGCTAGTTAAAACTGTATCGTGTGCTTAAATCATTAAGCAATTAATAACATGTATGAGAGCTTTAAATTTAAAAAAGACACATTATTTCAAAGTGGGAATTTATTTATTTTTTACTTTTTGTCTTTTAGGATCACACAACAAACATTCAGTGAAACTTTTTTTTTTATATCTTGTTTTATTAAATTGCACAATGAGACCGAGTGAAGCAAAGCCAATTAAAAATCATCTCTTATTAGTGCACACAAGGGTTTTATTTTATTTATAGAGGTACAAAAATAACCTGCTCATACAGATAGGATCACCCCCCCCCCCCCCCCCCCCGTCTCCTCTCTTCATTAATATCTCCAA